TGACACAGCCATGCTCTCCCCACAGTAATTCAGGGACGCAGGCAATATTTGTCCTCCTCCAAGTGCTGTATTGGGTGGAGCGGGGCCCGGGTCCTTCTAGACATGAGACCCCATCCTTCCTGATGAGGAGTGAAACTGCCCGGGCATCTGGTCTCTGTCTCACCCAGAGCGTGAAGCCACTGCCCTAAGAGCCACCCGACTCTAGGGCCTATTCTGGGCGATGTGGCTCTTGACTATCATTGGCCAGCAGGATTTCAGCACCTGCTCAAGGAGGGGCAGCATGAGGAGGCGGGTGAGGTCGAGACTGTCATCATCCCCATTACTGGGAGCTGGTCTGGGCTTCACCCGGGCTGGGTCACTTTATCTTCAGAGCATCCCCATTTTACAGACAGGAAATGCACCTCCAGTGACACAGATTAGAATGGGCAGGTGAACTAAACATCACACGACGTGTGTGTCTGCACGTGTGTATTGCCTCCACATGAGCCCTTCTCCTATGTGTCTCTTTGCTGTAGAAGAGCAACAGGCCCTGTCCCTCCCCAGCCCACCTTCTCTCCTGGGACATTGCCCAGTGGTCACTTCCCCATGGACCCAAGCCTCACAATCAGAATCTGGGAACCAACCTCGGACACCCATGCTGATCTCTCCAGCAGGAGAATCTGAAACCAGGTAGATATGAGGACATCCAAGTATGGACTGCCGCTTTTGGTCTGTCCGGGAACAGTCTGGTAAACAGACAGCACAGGCAGATGAGGATGACAAAGCAGACTGGGGAAAGTCCCTCCCTGAGGACAAGCATATCTGGAGGATGAGACCCTGCCAAGGACTGACCATGCCCCCATCAGCTCTACTTAGGGAAGGTGAAGTGCCTGCCTGGGTCCCTGGTGGTCATACAGAGCATGGTTACAAACCCAAGTCTGAATGCCCAATTATTTATTCAACCATGATCTCTCCTAGCTTCCTCCTTTTGGACAGAGGGAATAATGAACCTCAGCACAGAGCTGCCACGGGCCCCACATGAGAGATCCTGGGGACACCCACCGAAACTCTCTTATCCAGTAAACAGGCAGGAACAGAGCCCTCTCAAGCACGCTCCTCCCACCTCCCCCACCTGCCCCAGCCCTGCACCTGGGGCCTCCCCTGCACCCTCAGGGCCCTCTCTCCTGCTGCCCTCTCCCAAGCCTCTCCAGGAGCCAGGCTGCTGCTGCAGCAGAGATTTCCAGCTGCTCGTGTTTAGTTACACTTGGGTCATGTGAGAATAACAGTAATTGCTACTTGTCACCATGTCTGGGTCTGACCAGAGCCCCAGGCACTGCTGTGTCCCTGCTCATGTTGGCCTTGTCAACCAGGACTGAGGCAATAGCCATCTCTGTGAACCTTCGTTTTCTCAGCTATGAAGCAGTAGGACAACAGCAGTTCCTTCTTCACCAGAGGGCTGTGAGTGGCCAGAACTGAGGCCCCGTTAATATGCATTGGGCCCTTAGCAGCGCTGCAAGTGGGCAGGGCCTGCCCACACCTGCACAAAATGGAGGCCTGTTGGTCTGAGCTGTGGCTGCAGGACTTTAGGGCTGTGGTCAGGACAAGTTCCCAGGCAGCCTAGCCCATACAGACCCTAGACCCCAGGGTCCCACCATGGCCAGAGCCCTGAGGAATCAAGCCCAAACAGCTCGCTGAACAGAGGAGGAAATCATGCAGTCACATCGTACAGTCGGTAAATACCCAGCTGGGTTTAGCCAGGGCTGTGGGCACCCCACGGCCCCCAGCCTGTCCGTCACCACAAATGATGCGGACGTGCCAGCACGTCAGGAGGAAGGCCTGAAGCAGGATTTAGAGGAAGTTTCCCTTTTCTGATAAATCTCCAAGGTGACTTGCATTTTCCATGCTTTCAGTTTCACTTTCAAAACTCCCTCTAGGGATTCCCCTGGTGGTCCAGTGGTTGGAAACCTAACTGCCAATGCAGGGAACAAGGATTCCATTGTCCCCTGGGAGGATTGCACATGGCCCGGGGCAGCTAAGTCCACACACCACAACTAATGAGCTGTTGCAGGGAGAAGTCAATTCTGACTCCATGTTGAAATGGTTTCTTTGACTTGCTTTCCGTTGCTTTTATTATTATAATTACACATAATGGCCTGTCTCAGAGAATCCTACCCCTCTGTCTGACTATTAAACTAAAGTGCCTTTGTTCAGAACCCTGTCCTTGTGTAGATGGCAAGAAGGATGAAATTAACACATCACTCTGCCTGAGGCTTGCTGTTCTAGGAGATACTTGCAAGATTAAGTGGACTTTTTGTTTCCTCACCTCCCCCTATCTCTGGTTCATAAAAGAACCTGGCATCCTAACAAGATGGTTATTTTGAGGCGTTAGTCTGCTATCTTCTCTGTCTCCCAGCTTTCTGAATAAGAATAAAGTATTCCTTGCCTCAACAACACCTTGTTTCTTGGATTCATTGGCCTAACATGCAGTGGGCAGAGTGAGCCTGGACTCAGTAACAAAGCTATTGCAATGAGAAACCTGTGCACCACAACTAGAGTAGCTCTCACTCGGCACAACTAGAGAAACCCTGAATGAAACAACTAAGACCCAGCACAGTCAAAATAATTAAATCAACCAACCAATTTTTAAAAAGATAAGATTGTTTAAAAAAAAAAAAAGCTACTTCTAGCAGGAAGGGTCAGAGAAGGCAATGGCAACCCACTCCAGTACTCTTGCCTGGAAAATCTCATGGACGGAGGAGCCTGGTAGCCTGCAGTCCATGGAGTCGCGAAGAGTCGGACACGGCTGAGAGACTTCACTTTCACTTTCATGCACTGGAGAAGGCAATGGCAACCCACTCCAGTGTTCTTGCCTGGAGAATCCCAGGGATGGCAGAGCCTGGTGGGCTGCCGTCTATGGGGATACACAGAGTCGGACACGACTGAAGCGACTTAGCAGCAGCAGCAAGGGTAAGGCATTAGGCAGGGGGAAACAAGGAGGTCCTGGTGTGGAGGGCAATCACAGGTGAGGCAGGCACTAGGTTACAGTGCTCATGGATGCCCACCTGCTGGCTGGTGTTGACTGAAAAAATACTCACAGCCTAAAAGTTGAGAGTTATATTTATTCAGTGGAAATTTTTAGCACTTCTAGCCCAGGAGACAGCATCTCAAGTAACCCTGATAGAACTGGTTCCAGGAGGTGCGGGGAGGAGCCAAGTTTTGCAACAAAGGGCAGGTAGTGTGATCATCAAAAGATTACTGTTATCTAAAGAAAATGAGACATTCCAAGTTAAGGAAATCAGCATTTTTCTATTTATAGGAAGATGCAAGAGTCTGCGCTCACTGAAATCAGTCCATTCACATGCACCTGAGCTATCTGGGGCCAGTGCCCTGTGTTTTCACATCTTGAACTTCCTTTCTTCGGGGCTCACCATAGGAAATGGCTGTAGTCTGCTGGCTGCTAGACAGCAGGTATTCTTGGCCTTCCTGAATTCCCTCAGGGCTCACTAGCTCACACTGGAGGGCTGCAACCCCTGATGACTGTGGCATCCTTGTTTACTGACACAGCAGGAACTATTTCATCTCTCACTGGCTAGACCAGCCAAGAGAGCAACAAGTCCACTGCTTACAGATCCATGCAATCCCCCGAGTTCTGAGCATGGCCCTCCTAGGTCTCTTCCCAGCTATGCCTCAGTTTCCTCCCATGTCAAATGAGAGGGTAACCCCTGTTTCGCAAGGCTATCCCATATCACCTCCCATAACCCTGTTCCAGGCCACAGCACCTAGAACAGGGCCTAGCATAAAGCAGGCACTCTGGTTACAGGATGAATGAACGAGCTCTAAGCCAATGTAACTATCTCCCGACCTTGGGCACTGCTGCTTACTCTCTCCGATCTCTGGTTTAACAGGAGGGGAAAGGTCACGCCTACATGGCCTTGGTCAAATGACCTGTGCTAACAGAATTTAGCAGACACTATGAGAGAAGGCAGAAGGTGGGGCGGGAATGGGGGTGGAGGTGGGCAGTGCAACTGGGAGGAGTAAAAAGCTGTTGGTCCTGGGAGCCAGGTCAGGGTCAGGGCAGAACACAGAGACCCAGACCTTCGCCTACCAGGCCAGGGAGATAATGCTTGGCCTCTTTGCACCCGCCTGGCTTCTGGGAGAGGCCTGCGTCCCGGGAAACAGGACTGAAAGAGTCAAGGGCTGGAGGAACCAACATGCTTTTGCCACCCCTAGCGGCTGGCACCGGCACAGACAAGGTGCCACCCCAAACAAGGGGCCCTGCCTGAAGACACAGAGGCTGCTCCATGAACGGTGGCAGGCACAAAGCGGGCCCAAGCTGCAGTGATCTGCTGTCTGCCCCCTCCTGAGTTCGTGGGAGGCCTTCACGTCCCCTTTTCCTAGAGAAGGTCAAAGTTCAGAGGGTGTGAGACCCAGGCGACTCGCAGGTTTCGTGTGCGGGGCGAGCGTTATGTTGGCGAAAGCTGCACCGGGGCCCCCGGGATGAGCGTCATCCGGGAAAACACAAAACCACGCCCGCGGCAGCACCCGCTAGACTTCATGGCGGTTAGCGAAGCGGCCAGGGAAAGGACGGTTCTTGCCCTCGTTTTATGGATTACAAGGGTCCACGACAGGAACACAGAAGGCGACGTGCGTTACCACGAACACGAGAAGTCGGGGACCTAACAGAACGGAAACTCAGCGCGGGCTCCCCCTGCCATAGCGGTCCACGCGGGGCAAGTCCCGGGTGGCCTAAGCCCCGCCCCCCGGCCTCAGCCAGGGGGCTGGGGGCGGAGTCTGAGGGCGGCTGCGTGCGCCGGGACGGAGGAAGGCGGGCCGTGGGCGGAGTCTGAGGGCGACTAGGAGCGCCGAGCTGGAGGGGGCGGGCCGTGGGCGGAGTCTGAGGGCGACTAGGAGCGCCGAGCTGGAGGGGGCGGGCCGTGGGCGGACCCGCAGCGGGGTCTGTGTGCGCGGCTGGGGCGCGGGCCACGCGGAGACCGGGAGCAAAGCTGACCCAGTGCCTCACCATGGACTCGCGCCCCGAAGAGTACGAGCTCAATGGCGACCTGCGCCCGAGCTCGCCCGGATCCCCAGACGCCTCGGTAAGCACCCCCTCTCTCCGTGCCGCTGTGCGACCTTGACCGACGCCCGCTCTCTCTGAGCCCTGCGCCCGCGGCTCCCAGGCACCTACGGGCGCCAAGCCGCTGCGCGTCGCGTCCGCAGTGAGGGTCGGGGTGGTCGCCATGCCCCCTGCGTCCCGCCCCCTTGCCAGCGTGGTCGCGGGGAGCCCAGGGGCTCAAGCCACTCTGGAAGGTTGGGCTGGGGCCCGGGCGGTTGGCAGGCTGCCGTAGGTGGCCCGGGGCAGGTAGCGCCCACACGGAGCTGCGCAGCCGTGGGGCCTGGGCGCCACCTTCACTCCGCTTTCCGCGGACCCCTGCTTTCCAGGCTCTCACACAGCGCTCCAGCTCTGCCTCTGTTCCGGTTCGCTGCGCGCCGGGAGTAGGCGCGGAACGGATCCCGGCCTCTGGGCTCTAGGCCAGCAGCGGGCAGACAGTTACGTCACTTACGGTGTCCACAGCGACCGCACAGTCTTGTGCATGCCCTGATGGGGAATTTGGGGCCGCTGTGGCCTCCTCCTCTCTCTCCACCCGCGGGTTCTTGCGCCTCAGTCCGTCCTGCTGGCCTTGGAGCGCTGTGAGCATGGGGACAGGCCCTGGCAGTGGTCCCATTTAGATCCAGTACCCTCCCACCCTGGGGTCCCGTCCCACTGTTGGAGCAGGGCCAGAGTAGCGGCTGGTAACCGGCCTTGTCCAGGACCAGCACTTCCCCAGGGCCTGTGTCTGTGGCGCAGCCCTGAGCACCACCCTTTGGTAACTTGTTGACATTGGCCATTCTTTCCGTTTCTGACCCCCTGCGGATGGGGGCAGGGACAGAGACCTCTCAGTCATGGACACCAGACTAAGGCCGAGACTGACCCTGCTCAGGTGTGGGTGACCAGTCCTAGGCGATGCTGTAGTAACAGGCCATGTTCAGGGGGTGGAGGGCAACATGTGAGGCAAGCAAGGCCCTGGCCTGGGGAACAGGCCCTCAGCAGGCAGGGTCCCTGTGCTCAGGGGTCACTGCCATTGGCCTTGGGACCAGTTGCGGGGGCCTCAGCCCTGTGCCACTCAGTCTGAGAGCCGAGACCAGTCCTGACGGGGAAGCCATGGGCAGAGTGCTGAACACACAGGTGGGTGGGACGACTCCTGACCAGTGGGGACATTGGCACTCCGCCCTGGGGTGTGAGTATGTGCGGAAGGGCATCCCAGGCAGGGGGAAGAGTGGGAGAAGGGCCCAGCGGCTAGACCACCAAGTACACCGGGGCTGGGTATAGGAGGTCAGACCTTGCCAGCTGCGGAGGCCATGGAGTCTCTGGACGCTCATGTGAGAGTGGACACATTCTTCCAGGGGGCTCCAGTCACAGGCAAGGAGGCTCTGGGAGAGAAAGTCAGGACTGACAGCTGCTCTGATCATCCAGCCTGGGGTCCAGGCCCACCCAACACTGCTCTCTCTCCAGCCTCTGCCTTCCGCTTCCCACCCTCAGGACCTGCCTCACTGTGATCTTAGGCACATCACTCTGTGCCTCAGTTTCTTATTTGTGAAAGGGGATGAGAGCAGCACCTCCAACAGAGGGTTATGAAAGAAAGTAAAAGTGTAGTCACTCCGTCATGTCTGACTCTTTGTGATCCCTTGGACTGTAACCCGCCAGGCTCCTCTGTCCATGGGATTCTCCAGGCAAGAATCCTGGAGTGGGTGACCATTCCCTTCTCCAGGGGATCTTCCCGACCCAAGGACTGAACCTGCATCTCTTGTCCTGCAGGCAGATCCTTCACTGTCTGACCCACCAGGGAAGCCCTCAGAGGCTTGTGGTGAGGACTAAATGGGCTACTGTGTGTGAAGTGCTGGGGGAAACTGGACACATAATATTAACATTCCTGCCTGCCAAACTAGATCCTCTTTCAAAGATGACATCCCGACAGGGTTTAGGAAGGGCAGCACCTTCTCCCAGGTGCAGTCCACTCTCCCCCCACCCCGCGATAGGCACGGTCCTCCCCCTGCACCTCACCTGGCTCTTCCACAGCCTGCCCTCCCAGTGGCCACTGCCTGAATCTGAGTCCCGAGGTCCTGCTTGAGGAGGGGTAGAAAGATTTGCTGGGAAGAGGAAAATCCCAGGATCTTCAGATATGTCCCCACTTGAGCAAGAGCCCCCAGACAGGATGTGTGGGCTGAGTCACCATGATGTCCTCAGCGTGCCCCTGGCTACAGGAAGACTGACTGGGAGCCCAAGCCCAGAGCCCCCATCGGTCTCAAGATGCCCTGCCGCATGGCCCTGGGCAAGTACGGGCTCTCTCTGAACCTCAGCTTCCTCTCCTGTAGAGTGGGGAAGAATCACTCACCTCCCAGGGTGACTGGGCTCAGAGGAGAGTTGTATGTATAATCCAAGGGCAGATGAACTGTCAGGCCAGGGCAGTGAGGGAGCTCCACAGATGTCCTCCTCCACATGCTGCCTACCCCTGTGGCCTCCATGCAAGGCCAGTCTGCTCAGGGCCCCTGCTCGAGTGAGTTGGTGTCTTTAGTCAATTAACTCACTTCTGGATGGCAGCAGAAGAAATAAGAAGCATTAGTTATATTGTGAAAATAAATGTGGCCATGCCCAGGGTTTATCTGAGGGGGCAGCTGCCTCGGACACTGCAGCAGACTCTGGGGCTATATCCAGCTGAGGACACAGCAAGGCGGTGGCAGGACAGGGTGCAGTGAGGCTCACAGGGCAACATTTGGGCTTGGAAACCAAGTCCTGGGAGGGAGGGTTGCTTGCATAGCCTCAGCTGCTGGGAGAGGTTTGCTCTTTTTCTCTTAAACTCTTTTTTTGGCCTTGCTGAGCTGGCATGTGGAATTTTAGTTCCCCGATCAGGGATTGAGCCTGTGCCACCTGCCTTGGAATTGTGGAGTCTTAATCACGGGATCACCAGGGAAGTTCCAAGTTTGCTCTTTTTCTCATTTCTGCTCTCCTGGCAGATCCCGAGGCTGGCGGGGGCTTGGCCATGTTCCAAAAGGCAACCCTGACATGGCCGCGCGGTCATTCCTTGTCAGTGGTGAGCCCACAGGAAGCAGAACTGCCCAACGCCGCTCAGCTGCTGCGAGGACCTCCCACCCCAACCCTGGGAAACTTCCTGCCAGGAACTCAGACATGGAGCAAGAGACCTCCCGAGGCTGGCTGGACACAGATGGTGTGGGGACAGTGCAGGAGTGAGCTAGTGTGACCTGGGGTGGGTGCCTTCACGCTGAGCCCAAGCAGTGGACACAGTAGCAGCTTCTGCCCCACACTGATGGGTCAGACAGATCGTACTCGGCCCCAGCAGATCCTCCTTGGTGGGTTCTCAGGTCCCAGCCCAGAAGTGAGGACTCCAGAGCCCCCACTTCTACTGTTGCCCACGGAGCCCAAGGGGAGTGGCCCTATGCAGGAGTGGCTGCAATGGCCAGCATCTGAGCTGCGCTTCACTCAGCTCCTGCAGTTTCTGGGGCTAGTCCTCACTCTTTCTTGTTATGGACTTTCACCATAGAATTAATTACAAATGGTTACAGTTCACTTGGGAGGCAGCCTTTCAAGGCGGTGAGGCTGGGTGGTGAGGAAGAGGAACATCAAGTCCTGCCCTGCGCCAGCTGTGTTCTAACCAGCCACTGGGCTTCTGAGTGTTTCATTCATTCCCCGTCATATGCCTGCCTGCCCATCTTATAGCTGAGCAAACAGCACAGACCAGTCACTCTGCTGGTCTGTGGTGTGGCAGGATGTGGAGATGATAAAGGGAAGGCCCACATCCACATCCCACCTCTTCCCAGAGCAGCTGATGAGCCTCATAGATTTTGGGGGCCTTGGTCTCTCGTTCTTTAGATGTGAAATTGGGCTCTGGGAAGGAGGGCAGGAATTCCCATATGGGAATCTTGTTCCGTGCTTGTACCTGGGATTTGGAGTCAGTGGCAGAATTGGGGGCAGGCAGGATTGGAGGAAGTCCATAACCCAAAGCTTGAGGTCCTGCAGAGGTTCAGTTAGCCATGGCCCTGGCCTGCCCTCATCTCCCAAGGAAGCAGAGGGTGTACCAAGAGGCTGAGGATGGGCCAGACCTCCTGGGCCCAGCTGGAGGCCATGGGCAGCCTCTCCAAGCCCAGGGTGAACTGGAGGATGCACTGTGTTGAAACTGGGTACTCTGAGTACTGCAGACCTGTTTTGAATCTCGCTTCTGTTCCAACTTGCCTCCCTGTCCAAGCTGAGGTTGCCCAGTGCAGTGTGACCCTGGGCCAGGTGGCCTGGGTCCCTGCGAGCTGCCTGTGTACAAATGACTGGGGTGAGGCACTCTGTCCACAGAAAGTGGGCTTGAGGAGCCAGCCTTGTGGGCACCCCTGCCAAAATCAGCTCCTTCCCTGCAGGCTCCTTCCTGACTTTTAGAAAAAAGAAAAAAATTGGCAGCCCTGAGCTCACTCAGCTTCTGAGATGCCACTGGGGTTTTAGTGAATTCCTCTTGGCCCCAGGGACAATTAAACTGGGCATTTGTTCCCTGCACCGCCCAAGACATGGGCAGAGGTCTCAGTGGGAGGGTCCCAAGTGTGACTCCTGGCAGCTGGGTGGTGGGGAGATGAAGCTCCACACCTGTGCAAGATGGGCTCTGACTTCGCCCCAACTTGGGTGACCTCCTCAGGATAGCACCTTCCCTGGGATTCATCTGTACAGTGGTCACCTCTCGGGCCCAGATCTCTCCCCACAGCTCAAAGGCCCTCCCCAGAAGGTCTGGGGTACCAAGGTCAGGCATGAGGAAAGTGAATCAACCCTGAAATCTGCCCCCCGCCACCCAAGGCCCTACCACATAAAGCTCCCCAGGCCCCCTCCCCAGTGTGGACATGAGGCTGTGCCGTGTCCTGGGTGGCCCTTAGCTTCAAGGTGGACGAGCTGGGTTCAAATTCTGATCTGCCTCTCCCTCATGGTGGCCCTGAGTAAGCCCCCTTGAACTTTAGTCTTCCACTCTGTAGAATGGGAGAACAGTGCTCTTTCTTACTGTTAGTATACTTGGTGGGTGGTGGAACTTCCCAGACTGTGGCCGGGGGTGTACAGATGGGAAAACTGAGGCCCAGTGAAGGGAACATGTTGTCGAGGCTACACTGCAAGCCTGCAGTCAGCTAGGGCTTGACCAGAGCCCCCTCCCCACCAATCGTTTGGCCTGCAGCCTCTGGCCAGTGCTCCTTATCACTGCATGGGTTGAATAGGAAGCATATGGCTCTGTGGGCAGGAAATGTCCTGGCCAGGAAGGGCAAATGGGTTGAGGCCCTTGCTTGCTCCCAGGGGCCCTGAGACAGTGACCAGACCCTCCAGAACCTCCTGGCATGTTTGCTCCATGGCCTTGTTGCACACCTAGGGCGCTCAACCGCCACGGGGGCTGGGGACTTCTGAGCACTCAGCCTCACAGGTGACCCTGACCCCAGCCCCCTCTGCAGGGCCGGAGGAGACCGTGGTGTCAGTTCTCAGAGCTTCTGAGTCCTGGGACCTGGGTTCAAATCCCAGTGCAGCCCTCACTTCCTATTGACTTTGGACACATTTCCTCCCCGTACAGCCTCAGTTTACCCCTGGTAAGCGATTGTGAAGACGGGGACTCCCTGGAGGAAAGCGCCGAGCTGAAGGGTGAATAGGATGACGGGCTGTGCCCTGGGCACCCAAGGTTCAGGGCAGTGGGGTGCTGCTGCTGCTGGCGCCATTGTGTATTTGAATGCGTGTGTGGTTGCATAGGCGTGAAATATTTATACAGCTCAAGAGAGTTCAAGTAAAAGAGGAATTCTCCCTCCTGCCCAGAAGCCTCCACAGTTAGCCGCGTGTTTCTTAATGCATACATGCATGTGTATTGTGTGCATGTGTGTACATGTATGTGTACGTGTATCTACACGTGTGTTTGTGCATGTGTAGCATGTATACATGTTAGTGTGTACTTACATGCACATATATATTGTCTTCTGTGTATGTGTGTATAGATGCATGTGCACGGTGTGTATATGCTCATGAATGTGTGTATTTGTGTATGTATAGCTCCCCTGCCCCCAGAAGGTAGAAGCTCCTTGGAAGACCTGCACCTGGCTTTTTCTCTGGGATTGGGGATTGGAATGAGGCCCCAGGGTGGCCTCAAGGGAAGATGTTTTGGTGTTCCTGGTTTATGAAACTTATGGGCACATGGCCAGCAGGCCAGGGCCTCCAGGATGCCTGCACCCAGTGGAGCACATACTTGATGGAGCATGGCCAGCTGGGCCACTTCGCAAGATCAGAGCTGGGAGATAGCCTGGGTGCTTTTGAGGTGGGGCACAGACCCTGGGGAGGAGTGATGTGCCCTGGGTATTCTTGGCCTAGGCGGGCGGCCCACCCAGCTGTGAGTGCAATTGTAGGCCTGGCATGGAGGCAAAGGAGAGACCCCACTTGAAGAAAGAAAGAGGCTGCACATGGAATTTCCCAGAGAACAGGGCCAGGGCACTGGGTTGGACAGAGGTTTTCCCAGCGAGCTCTTGGGTCTAGAATTTTAAACCAGGGGGATTTGCTGCTTAAGAACAACTGACACTGAGGGAACACAGGACACGGGAGTCTCTGTTCCCATGCTCTCCCTCCTGAGCCTGTTATTCTAGATTAAATTTAAACTCTAAAAGATACAATGTAGTGATGACCTAGAGGGCTGGATGGGGAGATTGGGCGGAAGGTTCAAGAGGGAGGGGATGTATGTGTACATACAGCTGTTCATTTTGTTGGACAGCAGAAGCTAACACAGCATTGTAAAGCCGTTATACTCCAATTTAAAAAAGAAGATATAATGTAAACATAGTTTTACTTCTGTATTTCTGTAATTTCCATGATATGTATAGTTCTGTAATCTCCATGGTTTCTCTAACTACAGAAAGGAGAGGTTTGCCCTCCCCAGAACCCCCACCTCCCATCCCTGCATCTTTCATGAGTCTAGAAATAAGATCTCCTGAATGGCCCCAGGAGGCCTAGGCTCAGGGAGGCCTGTGGACAAGGGGCCAAGGCTGAGGGGTACAGGTTAGTTCTGGGAGGTTGGGGAAGGGCCTGGCCGGGGCAGCTTGAAGAGGGCAGACGGGCTGGCTACCAAGAGGAGGCCAGGTAGCTTAGAGTTGTCTTCAAGTGAAACAGCCGTCCCAGAGGCAAACTCTAGTCCCTTTGGGGAGCGGTCTGTGTGGCCTGGACTCCAGCTTCTGAGGCCAGCCTTCTCCCTAACTCCCCTCCCTGCTCCTGCCCCTGGAGAGAACCTAACCTGCAGAGAAAGTCAGCTCTGGGTGGGACCTTGAGGCCTGTCACTTGGGAGTGACAGGGGCCTGGCCTTGAGGACTGGGGATGTTCTCAGGCAGAAAGTGAGGGAGGAGGTATCCGAACTTGTGTTTGCATTTTATCAATACAAACATGAAGGCAGGATAAGCTCTAGAGAGCCACACGCCATGGCCAGTAGGGCACTCTAAGGGTGACCTCACGTTTCTTATCACAAATACTAGTAATAACAGGTCAGGAGGAGACTCTGGAGGGGTCGATGTGTGGTGATGGTGTCATGGTGCATACTTAGCTGCAAACTCCTCAGGTTGTTTGTGTCACTCACATCTTACTCAGTAAAGTGGTTTAAATTTGTTTTTAATAAAAAAGTAAGGAAGAAGCTAAGTTTAGCTGTAGATTAGAATACTGAGGCATCTCTTGAGCACCTGCTGTGTGCCCGCACAGCTGGGAGATGGCCTGGGTGGATCAGCCATCCCAGGAAGGCTTATTTCACATGTGGGCGAGTGTGTGGAAATCTGAGATCCAGCTGCTGTCACGTCACTTCCTGCCCTGGCACCAGTCACCTCCTGAAGGGAAGGGCGGGCAGGGGCACGCAGGGGAGGCTGCCAAGCGGCCCCACCCATGGCAGGCAGATGGTTGGCAGCATTTTCCTGTCTAAAACCAGAGTGCGCTGAGGTTGTGTTTTCTTTCCTTTCTCTTCCAGGACTTGATTCCTAGGGTGGGTCTTGCAGGGCTGTACAGTCTTCTTCTCTGGGCCTATTGTTCTGTTAAGCAGCACGTCCCTTTCGAGCCTCATCCGCTGACCTGATCTACCCCCACCTTCTTGCCAGTACCTAGGAAGGAGACCAGGTTCAAAGTAGGGGACACCAGGGTGGGCCCGGGCCTACAGCCCCCTGCTGCAGAGCCTGGCCTGACCACCTCGCTCCCTGCAGCCTAGCCGCTGGGGCAGGAACCGGCCCATCAACATGAACCATTATGCCAACAAGAAGAGCGCAGCCGAGAGCATGCTGGACATCGCACTGCTGATGGCCAACGCCTCCCAGCTGAAGGCCGTCATTGAGCAGGGCACTGGCTTCGCCTTCTTCATCCCCCTGGTGGTCCTCATCTCCATCTCCCTCGCGCTGCAGATTGGCGTGGGCGTGCTGCTCATCTTCCTCGGTGCGTGCCTGGGCAGGGAGCTGCAGCCGTGGGAGGGCCCTGGGTACCCCTCTCCTACAGTCAGCTGATTCTGCCTGTACACACTCTGGGATGGGTCACTTACCCGGCTGAACGTTTTGCAGGCCCTCACGAGCTGCACAGGAGCCCCAGCCCACCTCACTAAGCTGGGTGGTCCAAAATGTAACAGCTCCCACTGTGGCCCCCAGAGGGCCCCTCATGTCCCTATCCTTCCACTCACCCAAGCTGAGGACACAGGAAAACATCATAACCATGTTGTTGACGTGTAATGGGCACCTACTATGTACCTGCTAGTCCTTAGGTGGTCCATAGGGATCGGGTGATGGTCCTGCCCCCCAGGTGAGGGTCAGGTGTAGAAGCAGCAAAAATTTGAGCTTCCCTTTGCCTCCGCCTGGCTATGTGACCTCAGGCAGGTTACGTGACCTCTTGGGCCTCTGTTTCCTTGCCTAGAAAGTGAGTGTAAGGACAGCCTTGGGTACATGTGGGAACGGCTTGATTATCACACGCCAGTGCTCACAATGGTGTTTGCCTATGTGTGTGCAGTACGTTGTGCCTTAGAATCCAAGCCTGGGCCTCGGGCCTCCACACCTTCCACTTCGTGATGAGGTGCCAGGCCCCTCTGAGTTTCTTTTCACAGAGCAAGCGGGGCTGCAGCAGAGATCTCTCTGCAGCACAGAGATACCAGACTGCCTGAGCCAGGCCCCATTTTTGGCAGTGTTTTAAAGCAGGCATGTCTCTCTCTGGGGGTTGGGGGGGCGGTGTAGAAGAGGGCCCCATGATATCTCACAGCCCTGGGCAGTGCCTGCTCCTCTCACAGTTAGGTATGACCTCAACAACCCTGCCAAGCATGCCAAGCTGGACTTCCTCAACAACCTGGCCACTGGTCTGGTCTTCATCATCGTCGTGGTCAACATCTTCATCACTGCCTTTGGTGTCCAGAAGCCCACCATGGACATGGCGCCCCAGCAGTAGGGGCTCAGGTGAGCTGGCAGGGCCATCTGCAGCAGGGTCTGTTCCACCCGCTCACCCCACTGGGCTGCTGACTCAGCGTGGGAAACTCAGGGTCTTTTGTGCAGACCTCCCGTGACTGCATCTGTCCTTGCCCAGACCTTGCAGGGTGGGTGCCCCTGGGCATGTGCACCCCTACACCATACTCAGCCCACTGTCCTTGCTCAGAGAGACCCAGTGCCTGCCCAAGGTGACCCCACATGGGAGCAGAAGCCACAAGGAAGTCAAGTGAGCCTCGTAACACACTCAACAAGCCCCTCCTATAGGGAGGTTGTGGGGGCTCAGATGCAGGCAACCTGGATTGTCATGAGGGCAGATACAGAAGGCTGGCAGGTCTGGCACATGTCCTGGCCAGGGTCGCACAACACAGGTCCACAGGGCCCTGGACCCAGCAGTCCTCAGGCCTGCCACAGAGGCAAGGCGGGTGCCACAGACAGACAGCTGTCCATCCACAGCAGAGTGGACAGGAGACTGTCTCTACACAGCAAACACCTGTGTGTCAGGGACATAGGAGGAAACCTTCCAGATTGACCAAGTGGACAATGAAGCAAGATGCTGGGAGCAGGGCCTTTGTGTGGCCCCGTTGTGAGTATCTGGCTTCCACTTGCCCCCGCCATCATTATTGGCCCCACCTGGCATCGATTCACTGCCCAGCTGCTGGCCCCAGGTTGTTGTTCCGTCTGTCCCTCGTGGAATCCTCTAGATGTCAGTCTGCTCCCTCAACTCATCGGATGACAACTGGGCCATTAATCACCTGCTGTGTGCCCCAAACACAGTCTTGAGTCTCCCCAAGCATCAGCCTAGTGAGGAGGCCCCAAGGTCCCCACAGCACATGTCCACCCACCAGCCCCTGCTCTCAGGGGTGTCCTGTCAGAGCATGCTGGGCCAGGCTTTTAAACCCTGACAGTGTCCCACAGTGGCTCTTCCAGGTCAGGATTGGGCTGACTCTGGAGTCAGAGTGGCCCTGACATTTATGGGCTGGTTAGCAGACATTACCCTGTGGCAGGGTCACCAGAACAGAGCTGGAGGCTCCTCTGGCCTTGGTGACTCCATGCCTCTCCTCTCTCTTCTCTGCAGGTGCCCCTGGATCGTGCCTGGCCGCAGCTGCCTAGACACAGGAGGTGCCTCGCCCTTGAGGCCCATCATCCTGTGCACGGGATTCCCCTAAACTGCCGGAGCCCAGGCTGGCCCGGCTGGACTGCATCCAAATAAGCCACACGTGCTCAGGCCACTCTGGCAACACAGGGCCTGCCCCGTCCTCAACTGCTCCTCCTCCTGGAGCATGGAGTGGCCAGGCCCAGAAGGTGGAACTGGTGAGCCCTCAACAAGGGTCATCGTTGGCGTGGACATGCAGCAGGCCCAAGGATAGGGGTCAAGGGGCTGGCCCCATCTTGGGACATTTCCAGAGAGACGAGGCAATGCCTGCCCTCTGCCAGTGCAGCAGCGTCCTGGCCTTGTGCACTGCCCACCCTGGGTGACCTGTGACCTCTGCACTTCCTGACCCAGGACTATAGACCATCAGTGACCCTGTGGGCCCCCCACCGTGGCCACTGACCCAGACCTCACACCTTCCACCAGCAGTAACTGGGCAGGGCTTTAGCCCCTTCTTGGGGATCTGAGCCCCCACTTTTCTATGTATAAGTAACCAATAAAGCTGATTCTTCTCCTCGTGTGGCTCCCAGCACCACCCTCCCTGCCACCCAGGCCTGGGTGCTGCACTGTGCCCCTCAGACCCCCAGCCTATACAGCCCTCCTCTCTCCCTGCCTCCAAGCCTCTGGTTTATGGGAGGAGCAACCTTTGTTGGCATCTCCAGACATCACCCCCACATGCATTTCCTTGGGGCAGTCAGCTCAATGACCCCTGACCAGAGCCTCGTGAAGAGTTCTAGCACTCCCACATTTCCTGCAGTTTACATGCCCAACTAGCTCCGTTCTATACCCACAGTACTGGATCAAGGAGAGTGGGGCTGATGCCAAGCCAGCCTCGACCCTGCAGAGACACCGTTGAGGGCCAGGTGATGTCTCTGGGGGCTCATGGAGCCACCTCTCACCTGGCTGGGACCCCCAGCTCCCTCCGTGCATCCTGTGACCACCCTGAGCCCTCACTCTCGCCCCCTTGTCCTCTCCTTTCTGACCCTTGCTGGCTCCATTCCCTCATCTCGAGTCAGCAATGCCCTCGCCTGGGCCTCTCCCCGGGGGATACCTGAGAACTCCCTCCAAGCAACTGGAGCCTGGGGAAGGTATGCAGCCCCCAGGAGCTCCCAAGTCCCCTCCCCCACATTTCTCTTGCCCTCCCCACTCTGAGCCTGGGGCAGCTCCAACAGACTTTCAGATGACCCCAGAGTCTTCTGTGGGGCTGAAAGATGAGCACAGAGTGATTGATAAACGAGTGCTTATGGGTGAGATGATCTAATCTGAGCTTTGCTTTAAAATGAGTGACTCAGGGAAAATGGACAGGGAAGCAAGATTGGAAGTGCTAGGGACTGCAGTGCTGGGGCCCCGGAGCCAGCTTTCTGCTCTGCTGAGTGTCCGAATGTCCCGTAAAGAAGGCTACTAAAGGTGATTCACACATGGGATGAGATCCCTGAAGAAGCAAGACCAGCAGGTGGGCAGTGGGTGGACACATGTTCCCAGAGGAGCCGATGAGCCTGGGGCCAACTTGGTCAGAGGAGGGCAGATGCACAGCTGTCAGGGGGCTGGGCTCTGGGACCAAGTGGTAGAGGCCAACCTCTCGGCTGGTCACCATGAGCACTCTGGCTGTCTCACTGCCAGGAAGCAGCAGGGGTCAGTCTCCTGGCTGTGAACCTGCCCCACTACCTGGCCCTCGTGGTGGATCCAGGGTGGTATCTGGGCCCATGCCCCCAGGTCCAGCCCCACTCAGGGCTCTGCACAAGTGAAGGCTACCCAGAACCATAGCCCTGGGGTAGCCTGAAGCAGTCTGTGGCCTGTGGTGTGGGCGGCCTGACAGCCACACCAGGGGGGTGCCAGCCTGTGTGGACCATGGACATGGCCAGCAGATGGCTGAGTTCCTCCTTTGGTTAGGACAGGAAATTTACCCAGAACCGAGAGGGTAAGCCCCAGATGGTTGGATGGGTCCTAGGTCACCAAATCAGGCTGGCCCCTACAGGCACTAGGGGCACTGGGAACAGCGCATGACAGAGGGTGGGTATGTGCATTCAGCCCGACAGCCTCTGCCCCAGCTGCTCCCCCACAGGTACCCCTGACAGCCCCTGATCTCCCCACCCACCAGCGCCCAGGCTCATGTCAGCAGACCCGCCCCCGACCCTCACTGCGGATGTACTCGTGTCTCAGGGCCTTGGCTTGTGCTGCAGTTCTCTAGCGTCAGGGCTGTGCCCTGAGTCTTCCCCACTGGCCCTCCTGACCACTGCTTCTGGTCACTGTCACAGTGGGCCATTTGGGTTTGCTTGGCCTTTGATGTCATTGGTTGCATCACTGCCCACAGTGTCCCTCTGGGGTCCGCATCTGAGCCCTGACTACCCCCACATCATCTGGCCCATGATCAGGGCTGTTGCCTGAGAAGGAGGGTCCTGCTCACCATCTCCCTGAAGGCTAAGGGAGCTCTGCCTGAGCTGGGGAAGGAGGTGGACCCCTAATCATACTTGTACTTCTATTTGATCTGCTCTGCCCTTCCATTTGATGCAACGACTCAAAGCCTGTGCTCAGCACTGTGTCTGGCATACTTAGTCTAGGTACTTAGTATATGTCTACAATAGATCCACTCCTTAAGTTCCAAGCTCTGGACATGTGTTACAGTGGCCAAGGGATAGACAAAAAAAAAAAAAACGGGGCCCAGAGAGCCAGTCAGGGCCAAGCCCTCCTGTGCAGCTGCCCCTCTGGGGACCCCACTCTGCTACCCCAGGGGACGGCAGAGACCCTGAGAGTAAGCAAAGGGCTCAAGGAGTAAGAAGCAAGGAAACGTATGTGCCGAGTTGGGAGACTCCACAGAGGGACACACGCAGGGAAGTCAAGAGTGGGGGAGCTCTCGAGGCTGATGCTCCAGGACTCAGGACCAGGAGGTAGCCCTGTGGAAGGACAAGCCTGTGGTGCATGAGCCCCAAGGCCACGTGAGCTGGGGCTGGCCTTAAAGGACTGTAGGATGGTCAGTGCGGGGGAGGGGGAAGTCACGAAGAGCTGGGGATTGGGGCGACTGAGCTTGGAGGATTTTGTGCTTAACTTCCTTGCTGTACAATATAGAGAGATGATGACGGATGGAAGACAAAAAGATTATAGATTGATGGACAGATGGATGGAAGACAGACAGATAGATGATAGATAAATAGGTATAGATAGATGACAGATAGGGGTAGGGATAGATGAGTCATTCCCAGGTCACCCTGGAGTTCTCCTCCCCTGACTCTCCATCCCCATTGTCCACCCTTCAAGGCTCAGGCCCACTTGATCTGAGAGAAGGAAGGACAGGGTGAGGCAGGGAGCTCTGAGAAAGGTGGGCCAGGATGGGATGGGATGGGGCCAGTAGAGTGAGAAGGTGGACTTCTGCTGCAGGATAGAGTGGGAATGTTCCTTCCTTCCACACCTGCCACACCCACCTACCCACTTCCCTCCCTCTCAAGCAACTTTTCTCCCACCTGCCTTTAATGGAATTTAATTCCTCTTTTCTCACTACATTAAAGAATCCACGAGCAGAATGTTCTAACATTTTTCTTCTCTCTCTCAAGTATTTATTTTAGTGGAAACTAAGCTAACTGCTTAAGCTTCTGCATCTGTGTGTGGCCCAGGGAAGATGCCCCATGGCAGCAGTGCCCCCCCAGGCCCTGCCCTAGGCCTCAATGCCCTCTGAGAGGATATGGGGCTCCAGTCCTGCCTCCAAGTGGGATAAGAATTGAGGTGCCAGCTGCCACCGAGCCAGCGCTGAGGAAGGGCACCTGCTCCACGCTCCCAAACCCCCACACCGTCTACAAGATTGGGGCCCCAGGGCCCATCCAGCAAGGACCTGACCTGCAACTTGGTCAGGTCTGGGGTTTGCGCAGAGGTTTTGGTGTGTGGCGTGGGCACTCTGAGATAGTCCTCAGAGCGCTGACCTGGCGGGTTGAAAATAACCACCCCAGATTCCAGCAGTGTCAGCACCCCTATCCAGATCTTGTGCCTTCTCCCAGAGAGGAACCCTGCATTGTGCAAATTGCAGTTGCATTTCCGGCTCCATAGGCAACAGCCTGTTACTTCATTGGGCCTGAAGCCACATCCCTGAGAGCATCTAGGGCCCTAACTACCTCCATCACAGGACCTCTGCTCTTCACATACACACCTCCTTCACAGACACACTCCTCCTGAACAACCCCGTCACTTCCCTCCCTTCCACCCTCCTCACATCCTCCCTCACTCCCCTCCCAACACCTGGGAGCTCTTCCCCATCCAGGCAGACCGGAGATGGGACAGTCATCCCAGCACTGAGGTAGCTGAGGTACTGTGGTAGATGAGGAACTACTCTTCTTACTAGAGTTTGGGGGGGACTTTCCCAGTTGAGATGGCATTTTACCAAAGATCTGAAGGTTAAGTAGGTGGGGGGAGTGGTTAGTAGTCTTCCAGATGAGGGAATAGCATGTGCAAAGGTGGGGGGTATGGATCATGAGCAGTTCCAGTTGTTGAGCTATGGAGGTAGGGACAGGGGACAGAAGGTAAGGGCCTGTCCCGGGGGCCAGCAAGTAAGACTGTGGCCCTTGGCCTCTTTCACACCTTGATGGACTTAATTCATTCCAGGTCATGGTTAATGACTGAGCAGGTAGTTGGCAGGGGGGCCTCATGGGAAGAGTGCTGTGCCTAGACATGGATGCTCCATGGTTCCACCTCCCCCAGTCCCAGCCTACGAGTGTGGTCATAGTATGGCAGCCACAAGCCAGGGGCAAGCAGATGGGAGAGGGGCCTGGCTGGTGTCTGTGCTGTTGCCACAGACTTCGGTTGTGGGCACCAGGTCCAGGCACAGTTGGAGAAGGGGCCATTGAGGCTGGGATCCACAGAGGGGGTTCAAGAACAGCCTGAACTGGGGGCTGCTCTGGACCACCAGGGCGAGGCCTTGGGTGGGTCATTGCTGAAAGGAGAAAGTCAGCATTCACAAGATGTGGCCCAGTTCGAGCTAAGGGAATCGGTGCCCTGGACTACCGCAGCTCACCAGCTCACCTGAGGCCCGGGAGCGGCACCGCCTGCCCCTCATTCCGGGGATGGAGCCCTGCCACAGGGCCTCACGGGTAAGTACTTAAGTACCAGGACCTTCCCTGCCACAGGGCCTCACGGGTAAGTACTTAAGTACCAGGACCTTCCCTGCCACAGGGCCTCACGGCTAAGTGCCAGGACCTTCCCTGCCACAGGGCCTCACGGGTAAGTACTTAAGTGCCAGGACCTTCCCTGCCACAGGGCCTCACGGGTAAGTACTTAAGTGCCAGGACCTTCCCTGCCACAGGGCCTCACGGGTAAGTACTTAAGTGCCAGGACCTTCCCTGCCACAGGGCCTCACGGCTAAGTGCCAGGACCTTCCCTGCCACAGGGCCTCACGGGTAAGTACTTAAGTACCAGGACCTTCTCTGCCACAGGGCCTCACGGCTAAGTGCCAGGACCTTCCCTGCCACAGGGCCTCACGGGTAAGTACTTAAGTACCAGGACCTTCTCTGCCACAGGGCCTCACGGCCAAGTGCCAGGACCTTCCCTGCCACAGGGCCTCACGGGTAAGTACTTAAGTACCAGGACCTCCCCTGCCACAGGGCCTCACGGGTAAGTACTTAAGTACCAGGACCTTCCCTGCCACAGGGCCTCACGGCTAAGTGCCAGGACCTTCCCTGCCACAGGGCCTCACGGGTAAGTACTTAAGTACCAGGACCTTCTCTGCCACAGGGCCTCACGGCTAAGTGCCAGGACCTTCCCTGCCACAGGGCCTCATGGGTAAGTACTTAAGTACCAGGACCTTCTCTGCCACAGGGCCTCATGGCTAAGTGCCAGGACCTTCCCTGCCACAGGGCCTCACGGGTAAGTACTTAAGTACCAGGACCTTCCCTGCCACAGCCTGTTTCTGGGATGTCCCCTCAAAGGTGTTTCTACTTAATAGTTCAGGACTGCTAATCACAAAGGATATATATCAGCGGAGTATATAAGTAACATTTATTTCGGGAGACTGGAAGACTGAGATCAAGGCACTGGCTTTTCTGGTGTCTGCTTTGCCTGCACCCCACACACAGTGGCCACATTGACGTTTACCCGGATATCTCGATCACCTACAGTCAGGCATCTGGCGCCTTCACCCAGCGGTGCCCTTTACCCAGTTCTGTCACTTTCACTGGGCACGTGCCACTTTTACCCAAGCATGTCTGTCAGAGAGCAGGACTATCCAGCTCAGGATATCCATGCTCAAGGAGGAGTCCTGTCTCTTTGAATAGATGGTCAACTAAGGCTCAGAGTCTGGAACCATACCCCCAAGACCAGCAGGGCAGAGATGGAAGAGCTAGCGGTAAGCTGTGCTGTCCGGGGCTTCAGGGCGGGTGGGAGGGCTCCTCTGCCTGGCTCTCCCAGGCCCTGGCCCTCACTTTAATGACTGAGCATACAAATGAGTGAATGAACCCAAAGGCTGACTGAACAAGGGCCAGAGACCACGTCGTGACGCTAATTCCTCTGCTTCCCGTCTTGCTTCCCTCCCACACGCTGTGAGAGAGTGAGGGACGCGGGCGTGGAACTCCTCCTGAGGGCCTGCCCAGCGGCAGCATCATTCCTGGCGTCAGCCCGCTGTACCTCTGGAAACCCCCGGTGGGAAATGCAAGCACATGATGATTCTTGGGCTGACATACTTCTGTTTCCCCAGAAAGAGGCTGGAGGGGAAGGAGATGACAGAGGGAGGCAGCAGGGAGAGGAACCCAGCAGGGGCCAAGCCTTGTGCACGCGCACGTGTGTCTCTGTGCACTGTGCACACCTCTCACGTCTGTGTGCACGTGTGTGTGCGCGCACGTGGCGAGGGCACTTGGGTGCCGTGTGGTCCTGGGCGCTGAGCTTCAGCTCCCTCACTGGTCATGAGGGTACCCGCAGCGGACAGGGGCCATGCGGTGGGGACTGCCAGGGCCAAGGGCAGAGCAGCAAGCCCTCTTGGATGTGTACACTCACCCTTCTGTGTCCACAGGGACATTTCCACGACAACATCCTGAGCCTGAGGCCAGGAGGTGAGACAGATGGGTGCAAGCTCCCTGGCTGAGACAGGCCCATCTCCCCAAGGCAATTACAGGGCTCAGCTCTGAGAACAAGGGGCTGTGTGTGGCCAACAAGCGGCTCCCCCAGGCTGTTAGGGGAGGGTGTGAGGAGCCAGAGCCCAAGACTTCAAATGGCACAATTACACTTTTCATCTCTAACAGTCCTAGAGGGTTCTGTGGACTGTTTTTCTGTCTCAACCTCCTCTCCACCTGGGATCAGGGATAAGATTTTGTGTTCATTTCTAGGCTCTGACCATATATGTGTCCCTGACCCCCAAAGCCAAGGTCACCGCTTCCCCAGGAGGGAGGGGCTCCATCTCCCGGACAGTGGGGTCTGAGGAGCCTCACAGGGCCCAGGAACTGGGTGTTGGCTCTGGTGACTAGACAGAGACAAGAGGGCTGATGGGGGGTATCTCCCTGAGACATGTCATAGGAAGGGAATGAAGATGGTGGTCGAGCCCCCCTTTCTTGGCTCAGTGACCCCCGCTTTCAGTCTCAGCTTCTTCATCAGGAAAGCAAGGGCAGCAGCCCCCACCTTCTGGGGCTGTGGGAGGAGTCAAAGTAACACATGCAAGCACTAGAGCATCACAAGGCATTTGGCTGGTGCCCCTCCATGGCCCTCCCCTAACGGCCTGGGGTTTGGCCACACGCAGGCCCCTTGTTCTGAGCCGAGCCCTGTAATTGCCTTGGGGACAAAGGCCTGTCCCCTCAGCCAGGGAGCTTGCACACATCTGTCTCACCTCCTGGCCTCAGGCTCAGGATCTTGTCATAGAAATGTCCCTGTGGACACAGAAGGGTGAGTATACACATCCAAGAGGGTTTGGTGCTCTGCCTTTGGCCCTGGTGGCCCTGTGAGCCGAGGAAGGGTAACAGAGCAGTCCAGAGGGCCTGCCTGTCCATCCTCCGGACCTGGGGCTGAGGACTGGGACAGAGCAGAGATGGGCGGGGGCAGGTATGGGGACCAACAGTGCTCCAGGTAGGAGATGGCAAGAAGGGTTCAAGGTAGGGAGTTCTTCAGAGCAGCAGTGGAAGAAGGCCACAGAAGGAGGGAACAGGACACGTGCAGGGCTGTATCTGGAAGTGTGCACTGGGGACGGCCAGGGACACCTGGGGTGGGTAGTCCACGTGCAGGGGTGAGACCCAGGCCCCGAGGAGTCCGGGAAGGCGGCCTCAGCAGGACCTGGGTCTTGGGTTGGACTCAGGAAGTGAAGAACCCACAAGATCAACCCTAGCTAGAGACGCTGTCATTTCTTGAATTGGAATCATCTAGAAAACGCTCCTGGGAGAAGGGATGAGACTCAAACATTTAATATTGTTGAACACCTCTGTACAATGAAAGTAAAGTGCTTATTACAGAAATTATAAATAGCAAGAAATAAACACTTAGGAATGAAGCAAGCCCCTGGAGAGCAAACACGCAGGTGGGCCAGGCTGAGGTCAGTCAGAGGCCCCCCAGGTCATCTGTGAGAAAGGCCAGCAGGAAGCGGCTGACGTGTCTGTCAATGATGACAGGGGAGAAGCCCAGGACACGCCGGGCCCCTGGCAGCACCTTGGGGTCTGGAAGACAAGGGGATCTCAGAACTCCTCACCAAGGTACCTTCTCTCATCCTCGCAGCATCACCAGCCCACACCTGAGTGATGTGGGGTTCCCATGCCAAGAGGGTCTGCCTGGCGCTGCTCCCACCCAGGACCTGGACAAGGTCAGCAAGACAGGAAAGCGACGGCAGGCATGCCACACTGCGTCACAAGGAGGGGCCTCAGGTGTGGGCCTCCGTCCATCTCGCAGGGCTCAGCCCCAGGATGTGGAGAGGGCTGGCCGAGGCCTGGCCAGGCAGCACCCACCTGGAGGACAGCAGTAGATGAGGAGCGCCAGGCCTGCGGCCAGGCCGAGGCAGGTCAGGAAGGCCACAGGTCCTGGGGAGAAACGCAGGTGAGCAGCTTCGCGAGCCCTGAAGGGTGGGGAGGGGTCCAGAGGCCTCAAGGACAGGCTCACACCCTGTGCTGGGGTCAGCCAGGCAGGGATGCCCCTAGTGAGCACCCTGACGGGGCCTGTCCAATGGGCAGCCAGGAACGGAACCCAACTTGGAATGAGAAGCCCCCGAGACAGAGGTGGAGCCCTGGGTCAGGGGACAGAGAAAAGGGATGTGGGAGGCGGTTACCCCTGTCACTGAGCTCACGGCTTGCGGTGCCCGAGTCTAGCTCTGTGCAATCTGAGTTCTCTGGAAACAAAATCACAGGGCGTGGTTAGTCATGGGGGGCTGGAGAGTAAGGTGGTCACCTGCCATCGAGAAACCAAGAAGGCCGCCAAAGCCCTCCCCGAAGACCACCCAGGCCGCTTGGGTTGTGCAGGTGCCGAGCCCTCCGGGCTGTGTCTGGGGCCACGGAGGGGGGGTGGGCAATCAGCACCAGGGAAGGACCCCTGCACAGTTTGGGGCTCTTCTCCTTTTGTCCACTTATGGGAACTTGAGGACCATGGGATGGGGATTTCACTGTTCCCTGGCAACCACAAGGCACCCAACAGTGCAAACACCTGCCTGTGCAAAGTCTGATGATGCTGGGTTGAGGGCAGGGCGCTCTTTCTCTTTCCCCAGACCTCTCTGGGGTTCCCCAATCAACCAGCTCCTTGATAACCCTGAGGGCACCCTGGAAGGTCCCTGACTCCAGGCAGGGCTGCGTGGTCCTGACAGCTGGGGTGATAGGACCGTTCCATGCCGCAGCTTAGGGCCCAGTCCTGCCTGCCTGTCCTTGGGGCCCCCGGTCCAGCTGAGTGGCCTGAGGGGAGCCACCTCTCCCCTCACGGCCTCCAGCCTTTCATGTGAGGATTGAAGGACAGTAGCCACTCACCCTGGGGACCTGGGTGCAGAGGCTTCAAGACTGAGCTGCCATCCGTACCCGTGGCTTCCCTGTACCCATCCTGGCAGCTCAGAGGATCCCTCTCAAGCTTCCTGGGCCATGGGCTGGCACTTCTAAACCCAAACACCTTGTCCTGGACCAGCCATATGTGCCAGAGACTGTTGTACAGAAACACCCACGCCCTGAGGATCTACCTGGGTATAAGCAGATACAACCTCTGTCCTGGGAGGCAGTTCACTCAAGGCTGGTGTAGCCTACAGCTGTGAGCTAATTCTGATCAGAAGGGTAAGGATTCCCAGGTTCATTCGATTATAGAGGAACGGGGAGGACTACACGCACCAGATACTTTTGTGTAAGAAATAGCAGAAGCAAAAGGGAGACAGAGAGATGGAGACGGACACACACAGCGACATGGAGAGACAGAGACAGGGAGCTTGGAGACACAGAGATCTGTGTTGTCTGAAACACTCTCTCTACGCTCTCTGAGGGTCATACAAGACACAATCAGAGGGTTGTCTCTGGCGAAGGGCTGAGCAAGGAGATGCCAAGGCCAGGCGGCTGGGACACGCACTTACGCAGGGCGTGCCGGCTAGGCAAACAGCTGTGCAGAGGCTGGGCGTGGATGTACAGGGCCCGGTAGAACTCCTGGCAATCCCGCTCACCGCTCCGCTGCAGGTGGCCCAAGAGGTCGCAGAGACGCACTCGCAGAGACACCTTGGGGTTCCGGAACTGGAGGAGGAAGGGGCACAAGACGAGATCAAGACGATTTTTTTTTTTAATTTATTTATTTATTTTTATCACAACCATAGTGTATCTTTTTTTTTTTTTTTTACATGTATTCCCCATCCCGGTCCCCCCTCCCACCTCCCTCTCCACCCAATCCCTCTGGGTCTTCCCAGTGCACCAGGCCCGAGCACTTGTCTCATGCACCCAACCTCCAGCCCCAACCTTCTCAATGGCTGTGATTCCACCTTGGTGGCTGGAACACCCATGGGGAGGTAGCAATTGCTCCCAAAGGCTCAACCACTCCCACGCAGTGCCCAAGACTGTGCTACACGCCACTAATCCTTGCACTCCCATTGGAGGCCTAGACAGGTCACCAAGAAAGATGGTGGTGACATTATGCCACCATAATGTCCATAAGTGTGGAAACTTAGCAGCTTGCTAACTTGGTTTTCCCACATGTGAAAAAGGAAATAATAAACACACACAGTATGATCATTATAGGAAACCTTCAAGGTAATGGCATAAATGATAACTTCTAGTAGTTCATAGTCTACAGGAATGTGATTCAAGTTTTACAAAATATATCAAGGGTTAAGCAGAAAAAAGAGGTGGCTTTTTCGATGTGGCTGACTGAAACATACGTGGCTGTAAAGGTCAGTGGACAGGGTACTTGCACTGACCCCCAGAACGTGGAGGGATGGCGGGTGCTGCCACCTGGTGGTGATGGGCCACTCTACAAGGAACTAGCGTTGAACCACAAGTACAGAAACTGCAAAGCAAAGGCAGGTGTGCAGCCGAAACCATGGGTATCTCCAAGGAAAGGAACCGTGCGGGTGTGTGTGTGCAGGAGTTTCCTTTTTCTCATGTAAACATCTGAAGCTTTTCAAATTTTTTAAAAATCATGAATGCATATTAGACTTTTAATTACAAGACAGAAATTTGAGCCCCTACTTTTTAACTTACTGCACTACTTTTATAACTCAACAAGCATCTGAGCCAGTAGCGGAGTGCAGGGTGGATTCTAGCTCTGTTGAGGATCAATATCATCTGTCCCCTGGAGAGGCCTCAACCCTCCAGAGAGCCCTGCACAGGTGCCCCAAGAGGAGAAGGGCTTGCTCTGTCACCCAGCTGGGAGGCAGGTCATGTGCCCCAGGGCCCCAGTCTCTGGCACCAACCTCCAGTGCCACAAGGGCACCAGAGACATGGGTGGGGTGCACAAGGGGCACCCACCCTCATCCAGTGTCCCCGAACAGGACAGGCCAGATCACACCCAAAGTGATTGCCCATTTTGAACTTTTGGAAGATGCTGAGTGAAGAGTTCTGCAGCACTCAGTAGAGTGAATCTGGTATCCCTGCTCCCCTCCCACCCTGGTACTCCCCTGTTCCCCCTCCCAGGTCTGTCTCATGTTGTCACACATACCCTATGATCCTCCAGCATTTCTGAAAGGGGCTAGAAGTTCTGATGACATCTAAAGAGACTAAAGCTCAAAGAGCTGATGTTCTAGGCCCAAGGTCACCCCAAGGAGATAGGTTTTCACCTCCAAGCTGTCCTGCCCCACCCCCCCTCCCCCAGCCCAGAGAGGAAGGAATGGGAGAGCAGCCTCAGGTTCCTTGGCACCTTTTCTGCGTCCTTGTTGCTGAGGATCTGGGGATAGTAGCGGTTTAGCTGGAGGATAATCCTGTCCACCTGCTGCTCGCTCAGGCGTCCGAGGCCGGTGAGGAAAGGAGTGTCCTGGACTAGGCGATCACAGTAGGTTTGCTCTGAAACAGAAGCAGAGAACACAGAAGGACATGAGCCAGCACAGCCCAAGGCAGGGGTGTCGAGTCCCACACACCGTGACACAGCCGTGGCAGGAGCTCCACAGAAGGGCCCCGTGCCCACCAAGAGGTGTGCCAGCTGTAAGCATCTGGACAAGTGCTGACATCCCGACTCATGCACAGCCCAGGATTCCCCCAAGTCATGCCAATCCCCCTGCAAAACAGTGGGGTGGGGGGGTGCAGTGATAAAGGTACAGAGTGCTCAAAAGCAGACCAGAGCCTCTGGCTCCTCCTCTCTTCTATGCCTGAGAGCTTATCACAAAAAAACTCAGAAGGGTGAAGAGTCTGCTGTCTGTGGAGTCCCCCAGTGCTCTCTGGAAATAGCCAGGCCTGAGGAAGGACACAGCAGCACAGAGAAGGCCCAACTCCAAAGCTCCTACAGCCACTGTTGTCATGGGGACAGGAGACAGACAGGCAGACAGGAGCTCAGGGTTTAGAGTGGCCTGGCCACTTTGAGCCGGCATGGCCGCCAGACACAGTATCTGCAAGGCCTTGGGAAGCTGCCTCAAACAGCAGACCAACATGCCTGCTACCCAGGAGGCTGGGAAATGCTTTTCCTTTTGTTTTTTTCTTTCAGAATCATCATTCAACCATCACTGTTACACTATCTTTCCCATTAAGAATGTCCCTTAGAATGACAGGCCTTTAAAGGCAGGGAGTGGATGGGGAGAAGTTGGTGGGCAGATGGCAAAGAATCTCTGAGGAAAGGTCCCAAGTCCCTGCAGCCCTCGCTACTTGAACAAGTGCACCACCTTACCTATGTGAGGCAGCTTGTCCTGTGTCCTGCTGGACCCAGGGGATGGGGGGTTGGTGCGCGGGCAGGCAGAACTGTATAGGAGGTGTTTCTGTATGTGACTGAAGTTAAGCTGGCATCAATTCAAATTAGATAGCTGTAACTTTACCATATTAAACATAACCCCCACGGTAACCACAAAGAAAATGTCCACTGAATATACACAAAAGAACATCAAAATGTGTTACTACAGAAAATCAACACAAAAGGAAGTGATGGAAGAAATGAAGGACAAAAAAGCTACAAGACATACAGAAAAACAAACAGCAAACAGGGAGAAACAAGTTGTCCCTTATCAGTAATTAAATGTAAATCAATTAAACTCTCTAATCAAAAGACACAGATTGACAGAACAGATTTGTGATACTGTGATTTACAGTAGGAAATATATATTCACTCAGTCATGTCCGACTCTTTGCAACCCCATGGACTATGCAGTCCATGGAATTTTCTAGGCCAGGATACTGGAGTGGGTAGCCTTTCCCTTCTCCAGGGGATCTTCCCAACCCAGGGATCGAACCCAGGTCTCCCACATTGCAGGCGGATTCTTTACCCGCTGAGCCACCAGGGAAGCTCATGCCTACCTAAGGAAGCCTCCATAACCTTCCCCCCTACCAAAGTGGGGTTTGGAGCACCTCCCAGCTCCTAAACGCATGGAGGTGCCTGGGAGGAGCATGGAAGCTCCATGCCACTTCTCACATGTTTTGCCCTATGCATTTCTTCCACCTGGATGTTCACTTGTATCCTTGAAATATCCTGTGTAACAAACTGTGAACAGTAAGTGTTTTCCTGAGTTCTGTGAACTGCTCTAGCAAATGACAGTCAGGGGAACTCTGATTTATAGCCGTCAGCAGCCTGGACTGGTGACTGGCATTTCAAGTGGGGGCAATCTTGTGGGACTGAGCCTAAAGTGAACCTGTGGGATCTGACACTCTCCAGACAGATGGTGTAAGAACTGAGTTAAATCTATAGGACCCCCAGTTGGTGTCCACCAGAGAACTGGAAAACTGCTTGGCAGAGGATAACCCCACACACATTTTGTAACCAAAAGTGTCAGAAATAAAAGCGTTGAGAAATATGTATCGAAAAAAGAAACCAAGAAGGCAAAGAGGTTGTCTGAGGAGACCTTACAAATAGCTGAGGAAAGAAGAGAAAGGAAATGCAAGGGAAAAAGGAAAAGATGTACCCAACTGAAAGCAGGGTCCGGAGAACAGCAAGGAGAGATAAGAAGGCCTTCTTAAACGAACAGTGCAAAGTAATAGAGGAAAACAAATAGAATGGGAAGGAGGGACAGTACCACTGAACCGCAGCTATGACCAAGGCTGATGTCAATCCGAAGGCCTACCCTCTTGCAGATGCCCACCCCACCAAGAAACTATTGGAACTCGTTCAGCAGTCATGTAACTACAAGCAGCTTCGAAAAGGAGCCAATGAGGCCACCAAAACCCTCAACAAAGGCATCTCTGAGTTCATCGTGATGGCTGCAGATGCAGAGCCCTTGGAGATCATCCTGCACCTCCCGCTGCTGTGTGAGGACAAGAACGTGCCCTACGTGTTCGTGCGCTCCAAGCAGGCTCTGGGGCGAGCCTGTGGGGTCTCCAGGCCTGTCATCGCCTGCTCCGTCACCATCAAAGAGGGCTCACAACTGAAGCAGCAGATCCAGTCCATCCAGCAGTCCATCGAAAGGCTCTTAGTCTAAACCAGTGGCCTCGGCCACACTCCTGGCTGACTCCTCCTACCCCTACCCCCACCCCCACCCCGAGTTATGTATCATATTGTCTGTTAGCATGTAGTGTTTCCAGCTACCTTCTATTGTTATAAAATATTTTAATGCTCAAAAAAAAAAAGAACAAATAGAATGGGAAGACTAGAGATTTCTTCAAGAAAACTGGAGATATCAAGGGAGCATTTCATGCAAAGATGGACACGATAAGGGACAGGAATGGTATAAGGACCTAACAGAAGCAGGAGATTAAGAAGAAGTGGCAAGAATACACAGAAGAACTATACAAAAAAGGTTTTAATGACCCAGATAATCAGGATGGTATGGTCACTCATCTAGAGCCAGACATTCTGGAGTGTGAAGTCAAGTGGGCCTTAAGAAGCATTACTACACACCCCCTTTCACTTTGCCAACCGGACTTATGTCTTTATTGGTTATTCAAGTGGGGCAAAGGAAATAACCTTTTAAAACTCAGGCAAACTGGGTGTCTGTCTTGTAACCTGTCAGAGGAAACATTGTAAAAAAAAAAAAAAAAGAAGCATTACTACAAACAAAGCTAGTGGAGGTGACAGAAGTCAGCTGAGTTATTTCAAATCCTAAAGGATTTTAAAGTGCTACATTCAGTATGTCAGCAAATTTGGAAAACTCAGCAGTGACCATAGAACTGGAAAAGGTCAGTTTTCAATTCAGTCCGAAAGAAGAGCAAGGCCAAAGAACACGTAATCTACTGTACTACTGCGCTCATTTCACATGCTGGCACTATTATGCTCAAAATCCTTGAAGCTAGGCTTCAGCAGTATGTGAACGGAGAACTTCCAGATGTACAAGCTGGGTTTAGAAAAAAGCAGAGGAATCAGAGATCAAATTGTCAACATTCACTGGCTCACAGAGAAAGGAAGGGAATTCCAGAAAAATATCTACTTCTGCTTCATTGACTATGCCAAAACCTTTGACTGTGTGGATCACAACACACTGTGGAAAATTCGTAAAAGAAATGGGAATATCAGACCACTTTATCTATCTCCTGAGAAACCTGTATGTGGGTTAAAAAGCAACAATTAAAACAGGACATGGAACAAATGACTGATTCACAACTGGGAAAGGAGTGCGACAAGGCTGTATATTGTCACCCTTATTTAACTTAAAAACTTATTTACCTTAAATGCAGAGTACATCATGTAAAATGCTGGGCTGGATGAATCACAAGCTGGAATCAAGATTAGCTGGAGAAATATCAACAACCTCAGATATGAAGATAATACCACACTAGTGGCAGACAGTGAAGAGGAACTAAAGAGCCTCTTGATGAGGGTGAAAGAGGAGAGTGAAAAAGCTGGCTTGAAACTCAACATTCAAAAAACTAAGATCATAGCATCCTGGTCCATCACTTCACAGCAAACAGAAGGGAGAAAAGTGGAAGCAGTGACAGATTTAATTTTCTTGGGCTCTAAAATCACCGTGGATGGTGACTGCAGCCATGAAATTTAAAAATGCTTGCTCCCTGGAAGAAAAGCTATGAGAAACCTAGATAGCATATTAAAAAGCAGAGACATCATTTGCCAACAAAGGTCCACCTAGTCAAAGCTATGGTTTTCCCAGGAGTCACATATGGATGTGAGAATTGGACCATAAAGAAGGCTGAGTGTTGATCTGATGCTTTCGAATTTGGTGCTGGAGAAGACTCTTGAGAATTCCTTGGACTGCAAGGAGATCAAACCAGTCAATCCTAAAGGAAATAAACCCTGAAAGTTCACTGGAAGGACTGATGCTGAAGCTTCAATACTTTGCCCACCTGACGCAAAGAGCTGATCCTTGGAAAAGGTACTGATGCTGGGAAAGATTGAAGGCAAAGGAGAAGGGGCTGGCAGAGGATGAGATGGTTAGATAGCATCATTGACTCAATGCATATGAATTTGAGCAAACTCTGGGAGAGAATGAAGGACAGGGGAGCTTGGCATGCTGCAGTCCATGAGGTCGAAAAGAGTTGGACATGACTTAGCAACTAAACAACAACATCATATTGAGAAAGCCCGCATGCAGCCATGAAGACCCAGTGCAGCCAACAACAACAAAACCAGTGCCCTCCTTAAAGCAGCCTGTATAAATGTTGACTCTTTCTGGCCAGGCTTGTTTGCAAAGGCTTTGGCCAGTGTCAATATCGGGAGCCTCATCTGCCACATGGGGGACTGGTGGATCTGCTGCAAGCAGCTGACCAGCTGCACCAGCAGTAGGTCCAATCCTCTTCACCACTGCTGCCCTAGCTGAGGAGAAGAAAGCAGAGGCAAAGAAATAAGAATCTGAAAAGTCTAATGATGACATGGGCTTTGGTCGTTTTGACTAAACCTCTTCAGTAACACATTCAACAAAAAGCTGAACTCTTAAAAAAGGAATAAAACACTTAGAAATAAATTTAACCAAGGAGATGGAAGACTTGTACACTGATCTACAAAACACTACTCAAAGAAATGCTAAAAGATACAAATAAATGGAGAGACATTCCATGTCCATCGGTTGGAAGACTTAATATTGTGATGATGACAATATTACCCAAAGTGATCCAGGAATTCAATGTAACCCCTATCCAAACTGCA